ATWTTWTRYRCACAAATGAGGCTAACACAGAGCATTGGAGAATTCGAAWCTGGATCATTCAGAATGAAAAGATTTGTCATTAAAAATGTTTRTAAAYATTTTTATTAAAATAACATACAGTCAAAGTACARCTGAGACAAGAAATTCATATTTTTMATTAGAGATMACACTCACTGACRTGATTGTCTGTTTYAAAATCTTAAAAAGTTTACTGATTATTATTTACATCTATATTTATACACATGGCAATGAACACTTCACTCAACTGCTATCACTGCTTCGCAAGGCAAAAAAAAAAACTGTGTGATGATGAAATTTGAACAGGATAACATTGTCACTCACAAGTAACAATGATTTCAATCTCATATTAATTTTCTTTTCTAGTACTAAAAGGCATTGGATGCATTCAAGATGACAGCTTATGATTATAACCACGGCACGACAATACCAAATATGGATGATGGAAACCGATGGCAACCATATAATGCATCTCAAACACAGGGATCCCAACCATATAATGCATCCCAAGAATCTCAAGCCCAGGCAACCCAACCATACAATGCATCCCAAACACCAAGTACCCAGGCTTACAATTCTCAGCCACAAGCAACCCAGGCATATAATGCTACTCAACAACAGACAACACAGCAATACAGCGTGCCTCAAGCACAGGCAACACAGATAGCCCAGGATTACTCTGKMTCACAACCACAGGTATCCCARTCATCACCAGGAAATTATTCTGTTGAAACACCTGGTGCAAAAACCAAYCTTATAATCAACTACCTGCCACAGAGCATGACTGATGAAAATTTCAAGAAACTATTCAGTGCAGTTGGTCCATTAAAGAACAGCAAAGTGTGCCGCAACAAGCAGACAGGCTGGAGTTTTGGCTATGGATTTGTGGATTACTACACACAGGAACATGCACAAGCTGCCATTGATAAACTCAACGGCCATCAGATWGAAAACAAACGCCTAAAAGTAGCATTCTCTCGACCTGGTGCAGAAAGTAACAAAGGTTCCAATTTGTACATCCGTAATCTACCRCAGCTGATCTCTGAGATTCAACTAAGAAAAAACTTTGAAAAATATGGTGCAATAGTCAACTGCCGTGTCTTGCTGGACAAAGCAACTGGGTTATGTAATGGAAATGGTTTTATTCTCTTTGAAAAGAAAAATGAGGCTCAAGCAGCAATTGASGGAATGAATGGCCAGATWATTGAAGGTGGTAAGGATCCACTTGCTATTCGCTATGCAGATGACAACTCGACTAAATTACGTGCACCTATCAAGTCATTTGTGCCAGGAATGTTCAACACTCCTCAGTACCCAAGCCCRGGTCCTATACGTCCACCAATGAATAGATATCAAGCTCGATTTAACCCTCTTGGTTCTCCAAATATTCAACATAACAAAGCTGTAGAAAGTGGTGGCTTCACTCTTTATGTTTATAATGTGGGTTTTCATCCAAATGAACAAAACCTTGCWGCTTTGTTTTCWCAATTTGGTGTTGTRAACAAAGTGGATATTATCTGGGACTGGCAGAAAAATCAGAGCAAAGGGTTTGCTTTYATTTCTATGGCWACAAAAGAAGCWGCTCARATGGCTATTGATAATCTCAATGGATATATGTTTGCTAACAGGCCRTTGCAAGTSTCATTTTATGCTGGGAAAAAGATGTAAATTATGTGTCTTGCTAGAACAAACTTGAATATGATACATTGAATCATTTGTAAAAACAATGGTACAGACAGTTTTTTGAATCTCTTATATATTATTATCTTAATTTGTGGATATACATGTTAAATATMATGTTTAGGTAATGCCATCAGAATTTCTTGGCACTGTTGTACAAAGGGTGAATAACAGTATGTACCTGATTCGTCAGATAAAAACAATGCAAAATTGATGAAATGGATAACTTTATCTGATGGAGAACTTCACCTATCTTTCATACAACATAGGAATACTTCTGCCTAGATTTTGCCTACAGTAAATCCCGACTGTAACTCTTGGAACAACAGGCACTCTGTAATTCTTTCTGTGTTTCACTGTATTGAAGTGATTCAATGTTCACAAAATGTTGACTTCATTGGTCCCAGAGGTTCACTCTTTGTTGGCACAGAGTGCTCTTCATCAAGCTTATAATATCATCTTCTCAGCCTTGCTAATTGGCTCTTCGCACCAACAAAATAGTCAAGCCTGTGGCACCAGGGCATAATGTTGACAGAAACAAACTGTACTTATTGGTGATCATGTTTAAGAGTCCAACCACTAAAAGTATGAAATAGTACTACTAGTTTCATAAGTAGCGTGCTTATGCTGTGTCCAGGAAAGAAAAATATGTGTGATAGTGATGAGTGAACTGTTAGTTTATAACTTAAGTACATGTACATCTCATTTCATACAGAAGTAGTGTAAGCACTCTAGCTTGAAAGACCAATAATCAAAAAATAAACAAAGGGATTCGTATGATTTACTAGAACTATATTAGATTTAGAACCACTTCACACTTTTAGTGTTGGCATTCTTGGTCTTCATTAACATGCCAGGGAGACTTCTTATTGAAGAGATTTTCACAGCAAAATAATACAAAATTGTAATGAGACCATTGTCTATAAATTCCCAGAAAGACAACGTAAACGCTAAATATATGGTTTTTCAATTTTATTATTAACATTAGACTTGAAGAATCACAACAAAATCATTAACAAACAACCTTTTAGTTTAAAGCTAATAGGYCGTTTGCATTATGAYGTAACTTTACTACAACTATCAGAGAGCCTTGCACATTTTCATTGTTATTCAGATTTTTAATTCCCTTGGAGATTAATAAAACAATTGGCACTAATTGCATTACTAATTGGCAAAGCATTCTGGTAGTTGTAGTAAATGACGTCATAATGCATATCGTCTATTGCATGTAGTCTTGTGTCTACTGTATTACATGCCTACTTAAAACATTTATRAAACAATTGCACAAAATATCTTATRCAAAATCCTTTTTTCATGCYCTGTAATGAACATTACTKTCSGGTTGTTTTCATAAATGTATGAAATAGATATTACTACACTCTGATGGTTATTGTTGCACTATGATTCTTACTGTTCAATAAAAAAACATTCTGTTTTAGTGTATTGTGATTTAAGTCTTTTACAAACGTTTTTCTGGAAGAGAAAATAAATTTGTCTCTTCACTCTCTGTCAAAGCCTTTTGGCATTCTATAATACCCTTTCTGATGATACTAATGAATACTAATATTGATACTATTAAAATATTTTATTATTATTAAAAACAAGTGTGTTGAGATCATCATTTACAATTTCTTTTTTATTGGAAACAATTTCTGCAAATTATTGTTCTAAACTGAATGTGTACTTATGAAGATCAATAGTCTGTGTGGACAGACAGACAAACCAAAAAACTAAAATTTAGATTGAAATTCTTCAGTGTCTGACGTTTTTGCTTGCTTATATACGGTAATCAAACTTATAACTCAAATAGTTATTCACTTATTTGTGTGCGAGTTTGCTATTAAGATTTTCTTATTTGTCACTGAAGATGATGCAGCAGTTGGATTACATGCTGTTAAATACCGTATTTTACTCGAATAAATGCCGCCCCCGAATAGATGCCACCCTCAATAATAGACGCCGCCCCCCGAATAGACGCCGCATCTGGGTGCGACATCAATTTGAGGAAATAATGATACCAGAAATGGAAATTTATTTTCTTTTAGAACATTTTTTATTTCGAAGTGACTGTACTTTTTTTTGTACTGTTTGATCTCAGCAGCTGTTAGATTCAGACCACGAGGAGGACATTGATGTTGAAATAGAAGTTTAACTCTGGTTAAAATCATAAATTGAATAGATAAAATGAACACGACATTCATTTTGTGGTACTGAATAAAGTGTTATTTTAATAAACACCATCTATTCGAGTAAATACGGTAACTAAATAATAGAGGGAACTGCTTTACCTTCAACTCCCTAGTATAATTTAACAATATCGCATGCTGGTGCAATTTTACTAAGTTGATCTATCCCTCTCTCAGAAATTTCATAGCTACCCAGACCTAGAGGTGATAAACGTTGATGGTAATACTTTGCTAAGGCATGATATCCCTTCATCACTAAAGTCACCAATAAGTTCAAGAGTGGTGATGTGTGTTGATGGTAATACATTACTAAGGGATGACATCCCTTCACCAGTAAATTCACCATTAAGGTGAAGTGTGGTGATGTGTGTTGATGGTAATACATTACTAAGGGATGACATCCCTTCCTCTCCAAGGACCTTATGAATATGAATAATCCCATCTGAACCCATATCAATATCCTGAGAGCTAATCTTCAAGACAGTTAAAGGACAGCCATCATTTTTTAAAGGTTCTACTATTACATTAATGAATGATGAACTGAGTTCTATGCTTAGCTGACTGATGCAAAAGGGTTCTGAAAAAGCATCAGCATAATCTTTACAAAATKTGCTAATAAGATCCAAGAAGTATGCCAAAGCTACACTATCTGCAATATCAGATATAACAATATCTCTAAAAAGKGCTCCATTTTCATCACTAAATTGAGTGTGGTACTTTCCTATAATCTTGACTCCAAACTCTTGGTCCCCRTACTCTYGTAAACACTTTGCCACTAACAWGCCATGCTTRCAGCAGCAGTATGGTGAAATCATCTCTTCCATTAGCCTTTCACCAGCTTCAAATCCAGAGAAAAGGCCAGCACAAAATTGGAGCACCATCTCATTACGACCACCAGCTTCAAGTGTTGGTATTATGCCACTRTTCACAAAACCAAGAGCTGCAAAATACTCATGCAGTGTAAGATGAGAAAAACAAAAATCTCTTGCTACCTCAGAAGGACTTTCTCTAAATGCTGGACCACAGGTTAGAAGACCAAAAGACTGCAGGTTTCCGGTCTCTGGGCAAGACAGATGGAATCTTTCCAAATCACTTTGATTAAAAATGAGTYTTCCCTCCATAAACATTGCAGCTGCCAAYTCTGTTAGCTTTTTCAYTGTACTTTTCTCTTCAGATGCTCTGTGAATTGGCTTACAGCAATTTTCAAATATTTTCACAACTTCAGAGTAAAGTTCAGTTATTGTYGCTGGAARGCACTTYTCTKTTYCATTTTCAATATGCCATTCAAGACAAAAGCACATCAGGTGACAAAGCACAGGAATGTGTGCAATGCTTAGCAAGTTTTCATTGTTCATGATGTGATCTCTTGCAGCAATCTTCACTTCTTCCTTCTTTGACTTGAAGTACTTTTCAATGAATTCTTTAACTTGTTCAACAGAAAACCCTGCTATTTCCACTACTGCTTCCATGTGAATTCCCCCCAACTCATCAGCTTCAGTTGGACGTGATGTAACCATAGCAACAGCACTGCTAAATATCTTCTTTTGCAAGAGTTTGGAAATCAAAGCAGCTACAGGCATCTTCAGTCGTGGGTTGTTTTCATACTTCTGTTCAAATGGGCATTKAAATATGCTGGSTCGATYGKAGTACTCGTCATATCCATCAAGGATAAACAAGACCTTTTCTGGATGTTCAATAATGTACTCAAACAAGGGTTCACTGACTTTTGAACGGTCATCTCCCACAGAGCAGTGATTTAAGACTTCACAGAAATTGAACTGCTTTTCACAAAAGAGATTCAACTGCCTAAATGTCATTAGAAACACAAAGTCAAAATCATCTGCCACTCTTGAGGCATCTGGATTGTTGTCAAATAACACACCATCAGCCCAATCTCTAGAAAGCCTTTGACAAAACAGAGACTTTCCGATGCCTGGTTTTCCAATCACAAGGATGGACTTTGGATTGGGATTATCATGGTCTGGTGGGTTGATGAACATGTCTTGGCATTTATCAATTAGCTGTTTAGCACTTGGTTTGTTGTACTCTTGCAGCTGATCCCTTCTAGAGAGCCTAGTTTTAGATCTATTCAAGGGTTTCCATTCACGTTGGATCATGAGATTGGTGAATATGTCATCTGTTCTGGTGCTTGGCACAGAATGGCTGACCAACAGTTTGGGTTGGAATTCTGTTTGAGTTTTTGTTGATGATTTTAATCTTTCTGAATAAAGCTTAACATCTAAAAATGAATGTAATCAAATCCATGTTTAACTGAAGCATCCATATAAACAATAATTAATTTCATATTAAGCATCAATAGAAACATTAAAGTACACTAACTTTAGTTAATCAAAAGTACTAAAAAATGATGTCACTAACCTTCACACGACAGGGTTGAGGGTGCTGATGTTGATGGCTTCTGGAGGTTTTCAATCTTTTGCAATATCTTTTCTTGTGTTTGCTGTGACTGCTTTTGGCCTTGTTGTATCTCGTCCATCCCCTTTTGCAGCCTTTCAAGTCTGTTTGTTACTGAAAATAAAAGATACACGCTAGACTATGGCAATTCATTTCTGTAACATACCATTCAAGACAAAAGCACATCAGGTGACAAAGCACAGGAATGTGTGCAATGCTTAGCAAGTTTTCATTGTTCATGATGTGATCTCTTGCAGCAATCTTCACTTCTTCCTTCTTTGACTTGAAGTACTTTTCAATGAATTCTTTAACTTGTTCAACAGAAAACCCTGCTATTTCCACTACTGCTTCCATGTGAATTCCCCCCAACTCATCAGCTTCAGTTGGACGTGATGTAACCATAGCAACAGCACTGCTAAATATCTTCTTTTGCAAGAGTTTGGAAATCAAAGCAGCTACAGGCATCTTCAGTCGTGGGTTGTTTTCATACTTCTGTTCAAATGGGCATTGAAATATGCTGGGTCGATCGTAGTACTCGTCATATCCATCAAGGATAAACAAGACCTTTTCTGGATGTTCAATAATGTACTCAAACAAGGGTTCACTGACTTTTGAACGGTCATCTCCCACAGAGCAGTGATTTAAGACTTCACAGAAATTGAACTGCTTTTCACAAAAGAGATTCAACTGCCTAAATGTCATTAGAAACACAAAGTCAAAATCATCTGCCACTCTTGAGGCATCTGGATTGTTGTCAAATAACACACCATCAGCCCAATCTCTAGAAAGCCTTTGACAAAACAGAGACTTTCCGATGCCTGGTTTTCCAATCACAAGGATGGACTTTGGATTGGGATTATCATGGTCTGGTGGGTTGATGAACATGTCTTGGCATTTATCAATTAGCTGTTTAGCACTTGGTTTGTTGTACTCTTGCAGCTGATCCCTTCTAGAGAGCCTAGTTTTAGATCTATTCAAGGGTTTCCATTCACGTTGGATCATGAGATTGGTGAATATGTCATCTGTTCTGGTGCTTGGCACAGAATGGCTGACCAACAGTTTGGGTTGGAATTCTGTTTGAGTTTTTGTTGATGATTTTAATCTTTCTGAATAAAGCTTAACATCTAAAAATGAATGTAATCAAATCCATGTTTAACTGAAGCATCCATATAAACAATAATTAATTTTCATATTAAACATCAATAGAAACATAATAAAGTACACTAACTTTAGTTAATCAAAAGTACTAAAAAATGATGTCACTAACCTTCACATGACAGGGTTGAGGGTGCCGATGTTGATGGCTTCTGGAGGTTTTTAATCTCTTGTAATATCTCCTCTTGTGTTTGCTGTGATTGTTTTTGGCCTTGTTGTAGCTCGTCCACCCCCTTTTGAAGCCTTTCAAGTCTGTTTATTACTGGAAAATAAAAGATACACGCTAGACTTCGGTAATAATTCATTTCTGTAACATACCATTAAGGACAAATAATATAATGTGAATAATATATATGTTAAACAAAACGGCAAGGCATATTGAGTTTCACCAGAACAAAATGATAGCTATAATTCAGTATCAACTGAAGCTAATTTCATGGATACCAATTTGTATATTAATGCCAATCAATGAAAATCCCCTAAATATATATTTTTTAATCTCATTCACATTTGAAATTTGTAAGACATACTAAGTCATAAAATATATACTAAATTATTGTATATCAATTCACTACTTCTGTAATAGTAGGGCCAAGATTTGCAGTTCCATGTACCTCTTGTATTCATGTAAGAATTCTATATCTGACATCAAGGTTTGACTATAAAGCTGAGAGTTTTCTGCATATACTTACTTGTCTCAATTCCTTGAAGGATGTCTTTGTCTTGWGATGCACATTGTTTTACCAGAGAAATCAATTCATTCCATGGTAGCTGCACATCTGGATATACAGAGTGTATGGTAAGAAAATGATGTAAAAAAAATGCTAGTTCTTTCATGATCTTTACAATTACGTTTAGTTTTATAAATAATTGCATAGAAGAGCAATTGCAGGAAAACCATGAAATACATGTATGTAAAATCAAACTAAATACTAACAAATAGTGGCTATTTCTAAGAGACAATTTGTCAGTATCAATGAACCAGAACACAATCAAGATGAATTAAAAATAGTTCCATGTGGATTCATCTTCATTGTTTTCTGGTTCATTGATACTGACAAATTGTCTCTAAATAGCTGCAATTTGATAGTATTTAGTTTGATTTTATTTCATGGTTTTCCTGTGTTTGCTCTATTACGTTAATTGTAGTCAAATTATTCATCTGTCAGGAGATGGATAGGTACTTAGATTTATAAGTCAAAGATTTACAATAAAATTCAAAATACCTTTTTTGACTTTTTTAAAGTCTTTTGATGAAGCACCAATCAACATCARTGAGTTGCACACAGAGCTTTTAAGATTGTGAAACTCTGAGTTTTCAATCTTTCCATTCGGTGAGTGGCAAAGTTTGTTTCTTGTTTTTTTCAAGCATTTCAATCCAGCAACTAAACCTTTCTTGGTGGTAGGCACAAATGGAGGTCTGGAATTCAACAGAGCTTTGACAAAAAGAGACAAATCCCATGTTGTTGTGTCACCTGACTGGACTTTGGGTTTTTCATAATTAAGTGGAGTGAACTTCGTTAACAAATCTGTACCATTCTGAAGGCAATCTGTCCAAGGAACAAATCCCCCAGCAGAATTCCATTCATTTATGAAGAAATCTCGTAACTTTGGCAGCCCTACCCTTGAAAGGAGTAGTATCAAGGAGCAGTAATTCCTGAAAAATA